TTTCATACGTTTTTAGTGTATATTTAATATATATATAATACATATTTTATAGGTAATTAATATTTTGCAAATTCGAACCATGATGGTCTACTATCTTTAATCTAGAGACAGTACATCAACCGTGGTTTGCATTTGCAAAATAATTTTTCATAGGTTTGTTAGTATATATTTAATATATATAATACATACTTTATAGGTAACTAATATTTTGCAAATTCGAACCACGATGGTCTACTATCTTTAATCTAGAGACAGTACATCAACCGTGGTTTGAATTTGCAAAATATTAATGCGTTTTGAAACCTATTAGAAAAAAAGTATCGCAACCGATATGTTCACGACGATACATATATCCCTTATAGAAATCCAATTTAATACTGGAAATTACGTACCTACTTTGAATATTAAATTGTTGTTTAGTGCTTTTAATACTCAAAATAAGTAATTGATTACAGTGATTGTGTTACAGCAAAATTCTCTCCGAAGTGCGATCATATGTTTTCTGAAAATTTTTTTGCATTGAACATGATGCCGTTTGAAGAATTTGCCTAGCACGTCAGAATTTTGAGTAAATTGGAATGAAAATGGCACAAAATTGCGTTTTTTGCCACTTTTAACATTTTTTTGCAAAACAGAAACTAGTTTCTAAATAAATCCAACAGCATCTGAAAGTATCATTCCAAGAGCTTTCAAATAAAGTTTGATTTATGTATGATTTTATTTCATCAAATTATAACTGTTCAAATTTTAGACTTTCTGTAATATTGATACATTTTAAACATACATATAAACAGGAATAAAAGTTGCTCGAGAAGTTCCTTGGAATCAATAATTCTGCCATTTTGAATTAACAATAAAGTATAGTAGCATATATACGTTGACTCCTCGTAAAACACACACACACGCGCGCGCGCGCGCGCACACGCACGCACGCACGCACACGCACCATGCATAAGTACATATTTATCCTTGTAAATTTTAATCAAAAAATCTAAAATTTAAACAGCCATAACTTGATAAAAAAAATCGTACGAGTATGAACCAAAATTTGTTTGAAAGCTCTTGTATTATACTTTCAGATACCGTTTGATTTATTTAGAAACCAATTTCCGTTTTGCCGCAAAAAATGTTAAAAGTGGTTAAAAATGCCATTTTGACTTCATTACAATTTACTCAAAATCTTGACGTGATAGGCGAATTTTTCAAACGGCATTGTGTTCAGCGTGAAAAAATCTTCGGCAAAACATGGTCGCACTTCAGAGAGCGAAAAAAAGTGTTTTTTTAGTAACACAGTGTTATCTTCCAATATTAAATTTTTGTAAGAAATGACCAAGTAATATTTTCTTACATATGCATTGTTAAATAAATTATGAGATGAATATGATTCAAGGATGATAAAATTTGTTCATATACTAATACATATTTCTTCGATTTTCTAGTTAGTATAATAATAATTTTCATGAAAATGTCTCTCTGATTTTCTAATTTGATTTTCATAGATTTGAATGTAATTTTAAAACAAAAGAAAATAGACATGTTTAACATACATGACCAAATAGAATGTCTTTATCCTTCACTTACATGTTACTAAACAAACGATTCAAGGCTGCAGATATCATTAAAACGAGCGTTTTTACAAAGTGTCTTTAAACTCAAATAACACAACTGAAAGGAAGTCAGTAGCGAAAATGCATGAAATATCTTCATTTCGTGATTTCAACTTATATTCAACTTATATTTCAATTTATATTCTCGTGAGAAATCGGGCTCTTTTCGATTGTATATATTACCGATTTGGATCATGCTCCAATTAATCTATCATAATATTTACAACATTTTCTTAATATAGATAAAATTAATAGCTGTATTGCATGACACGCGCATAAGAAGAATAATTAAATTAGGAGGAATAAGCTATACATATAATTAAAAATCCTTCTGTAAGCCTTAAATGTTGAATTAATCATCAATTAAATTAATCGAAATTTGATCCAAGTTACTTTCTTGTAGATATTATCACGCAAAGAGAAGAGAGGAAGAAGCGGATCGATAGATCTTTAAGATGCTGACAAATTATAGAATCTCTACCTACAAAACGAGTTTCCGCTTGTCTATTTACAGAGCCGATGTTGAAGGCAAAGTGGAAGGGCCTGCGTGACACATTTCGTGCCGAGTTGAAGAAAGACCAGGTATACCGCAAGAGTAAATTCCACCGGAACCGACCAGTATGGATCCACTTCAAGAGCTTGCAGTTCCTCAAGGAGCAGATGCTGCCGCGACCGCCGATCTGGGAGCGCAGCGTGCCGAAGACGGAGGACGAGCTGCAGCCGAGCGAGGGCGAGGGCGAGAACGGCATGCCGAGTTCCGGCATCGACGGCGGCCTCGATGATCGAGACGCGATCGCCGATCACTTGCTGTCGATGGCCGGCGACGGTCACCACCATCACCATCATCATCACCACCACCATCAACTCAAGCTGGACGGTGGCGACGGTAGGCGTGGCACGGTGGACGTGAAGCGCGAACCCGAGGAGAGCTTCGACAATCTAGAATTCCAGAGCGTCACCGACAACTTGGCGGAGAACGAGATGATGCTGCAGAACATCTCGCCCGAGCAGGTCCTGATGAGTGACAGCGACACCGGCGTCGGTCTCGCCGGCGTCGATCCGCTCGAGGGCAGCTGTCGCTTTGACGACAACTACTACTTCCTCATGAGCTTGCTGCCGCACATCCGTACCCTGCCGGCCGACCGTAGGATGCTGCTCAGGATGCAGATGCAGGAGCTCGTCTACAAGGAGGTCTATAAGAAAGCCGCCGACGCCGAGCAGACGGCGAAGACTTAACTCGTTGTCGCCGCGCTAATCTGGACGCTCTTGAGACTTCCTCTTTTCTCGCTGCAATCATATCGCGTCGCGACGTCAGAAATGAGAAATCACGTGGATTTTCTGTTTGTGCTATACGCCAAAATTAAATTGACTTTTTTAATACGTTGTCGCGTTCATTGCCGTAACTTTAGTATGACTGCACGGGGGAAGCGGTAGTCTCATTGTCAGAGTATTAATTCGTAACCGTTCATCGAGGAATAAAGAGTTCTTATTTATATAAATATACAAGATGTTACAAAAATACGTGGCCAAATTTTAAGAGTGTATCCTATTTACAATAAGGATGATAAAACAAAAAGTGATATGAACATAGTTCGGAAACGTTTCCTTTCCAAGCCGTAAATACTTTTTACTTCTAACAGAATTTGGCAAAAATATTTCGCTAAAAATGGTTAGAAATGAGTTCCATCCGCAGCAATACTTCGTATCAATTTTTCATGAACTATCGAAGATATTAAAAAATTCCAGGAATATTTTGGATTTTGTCACACGAAGCGATAATAGGATTTCGGAGAACTTTCACCCAAAAAATTACGGGAAACTACGAATTATCTTCTTGGATATTATTTTATTATATCGTTTTTAGACATGTTTTTATTGAACATTATTACGAATATGATATTATTATTATTAAAAAATTCTGCCATAAACAAAAAAATTTCGGAATGGAAGTATTTCTGGATAACTTTTTACTATCTTTACTGGAACAATAAGTAGAAAACGTTCTTAGAGTTTGGTTATCCATTTTTTAAACACTCTGTACAAGTGAAAAATCTTTATTCCTCAGAGAACGATCACAAATCTTTAGACGTCGGAATATTTTATAATTTATTTATTTTCCACGCGACACCGACACGGAGCAACTGTTGTCGAAAATAAAATTCAAAGTCATTGAGTAAATGTCCGCGGGTTCCTCCTCATGTATTCACGAGTCGGAGCACAATTGCGGACAAGGTTATTCACATCCAGGGCTTTCGAAAAGAAAATAAGAAAAGAAGTAACCCAGAAAATACCAAGTTACACGCAACGTACCTGTTGTAATTTTCTACTCAATAATATATATAACTATAATATAACACATGTGTTTTATATTATAGTTTTATATTATATTATTGAGTGGAAAATTACAACTAACAGGTACATTACATGTAACTTGATATTTGCTGGGAAGCTTCTCCGCTCTTCCGAAAGGAATTTTGAAGGTATTTTTTTTTTCCGTAAGAATCCACGTCGACACAATGCGAAAGTGCGCTTGTGCATAAGTCACAGCTATGTATATATGTACAGGGTGTCTGATAATTACCACGTTACCTTTCGTGATTCAGGTAGAGCGGAAACTGAATAGAAAAGTCCTTAACCGTGTTTCGCGATCAGTTTCTCAATAATTGATAAGAAATTAATTAATAAAGGTTTGCGAACGAGCGTGCGAATCCGCATGACTTCTGTTCGGCTTAATCCCCTGCACTTGCTCGCAGGAGCTAGCTCCGGTAATTACAAGACACCCCGTATACAATTCGACGTATACACGGCTCTAGGTAGGTCATCAACCGGGTCGCTCCAGTGCTAAGCGCGCGCCCGCGCGGTCGCCAACGTGACTCTACGACCGGGCGACGTCGCGGCGACACGGTTGAGCGACACTGGTGCTTTCTCGTACCTGGCGGATACGGCGGCGGTGACGCACACCTGTGTGCGTCCGCCGCAGTCGGTGCAGCACGTCCGTGGCGGCGTTTACGCACATCACCATCCGACTCGGTGCTGGTCGCAACTCCCACGGTAGCCCGTCCGAGAGGTGCGCATGCGCTCGTCACCGTCGGTGTGGCTCCACAATCGTGTGGGTTCCCCCCCGAGCATCGCGTCCTCCGAGGACTCGCTTTCGCGTCGCGACTGACGCGACTCCGCGTCCGCGTCTACGCTCCCAGTAACTCAGTTCGTCGCCGCTCGCACACCGTTACTCCGGTCGCGCGTGTTACCGCACTCGCGCGCGCTCCTTGGTTGATCGGTCCCCGTTTCTCTAGCCCTCCCTCCCTTCTTCCTTGTTCACTTCTTTCCCCGTTATTGTTCCCCGGGTAGCGTCGCGTCTCCCGTGGTCGCGACACGTCGTCGTCGTCGTCGTCGTCGTGCGAGCACAGGTGTTAGAAGTCAGCGGACATACGACGGGATACACGTCGCTACTCCGCGAAGAGCGGTGGACATACCTACATATACCTGCCTGCCGTCGGCTGTGTCCCGCGAGATCGACGCGAGGTGAGTCAAGTTTCAGGAATCTCACTTCCGAGCGCTTCCGCGTCAAGAAGAGTCTGCTTTTTCGGGAGGGTACCACGAAGCGCGCGATCACCACCGCGTGGACCCCGCGAGTGTTATACGGGGAATTCCTCGATCAGTTCGAAGTTGACAGTTCTCTCGGCGAGAAAATGTTGTTCGCCGGTCTTTGACACAACATACTTATTTTCACGACTATATAGTTAAGGAAGGATATTCGCTGTATTTACCTCTCAGTCATCTTAATCCATCAAGAAAAAGAGACATTCTATTTTCGATCGAGGAGAAATTGAACTCGAAGATTGATACCTGAATATTATTCTTGTTGACAAGAACTCAACTCCGAATTGATCGAAAAGCAATGCTGTAGATCCTTTTATGTCTATTTCTACCAACGTAAATCGACTTTAATCTCTATTTAACGTCTTTCTTTATCTTTTCCAACTTCTTAGAACTAGGAAAGATAAAGAATCAATTAAATATAGATTAAAGTCGATCTGCATTAGTAAGAACGGACATTCCACGTCTAAGAAGCGAACGGCAAATTTCAGAGTTCTCGTCACCTCTCCGTGTTAACATGAATCGCGCGATCGGATGGGTGTTTCACGCGCCGCTTCGCGCCGTTTACTGTAAAGTATCCACTGTACAGACCTTCGATCGTCCTCGTAACCGACATCACTTTTTGTAACATACGTATACATAATGTATCCCGCAGTGTTTCCCGCGAAGTTCTAATAATTTCGACGATGCGTGCAATACGAGCGTGTCCAAAAAAGTTTTGGAAATACGAGCGTGCTCGCTCGGCTCTAGTCTAACGTCTAATCCTTTTAACCGTGCTCATTTCTTGATTGTGAAATCACCTGAAAAGGAAAAAAAAACGAATGTGTATATGTTAAAAAGATATTATTTTATTAAAATAAAAAAAGGACTTTTTTTACTACGTCACTTATATTTCATTGCGTTACCATTGCGTCACTTCGCCGTTTAGACGAAGGAGTAATTAATCAGACAGCCACACGACCTCGAAACGTATTGTCTCTGATCGGCGAGAGTTATTCTTGCACACAATGCCTTGGAACGTGTCAGAAGTGTGTAACAAAACAAACAAGAAACAAGGCGTTTCATCTTACTAGTATGAGTAATATACTTATAAAAAATTGGAAGTGCGATCGATATAAAAATATAGAAGCGAGTCGTATAACTTCGGAAGGAATATGAGAGTTCTTCAGGAACGATCGATTTAAAGAAGGCTGAAAAAAGACTCGATTATTGTCAGTTGTTCGATTGACGGGTCCGCTCCAGGTTAAGGATGGTAACAAGACATGGACCCAGGATAACTAGAATGCTGGCGATATCCAGTGTGTCATTAGAGAAAGAAGATTAGATATCGGAGACTCTCCTGCGCGTTAAATATACCCTCCGCTCCCTCGTCCACGTGCTTTCGAGAGTTCGCTCTAAATAGGTGTACTGGAATCTCGGCTCGACGCGATTCGAAACGCATCTACGCGCATTCCGTTCCGAGTGACAAGTGCCTGGAGACCGAAACGCTGGTCCTGTCCACGGTGCGCTTAGTAAACAGTCCGAGCGTGACACATAATAAGCTAAAGCGAGATTACGGCACGATTGCAGACCGATCTCGAACGCGCGTCGTATTCATCGTCGGTCGTAAAAAAAAATGCTGGATTAACGCGGAGTAAATCGGCCGCCGTTTAAAGTCCAGTATTTGAAAAAGGAATATTTCTTATTAAACCGTAATATACAAGCAGCTTTGACAACTCGATTAATTTCTCTTGAAAGCACGCGTGCAAACAATACTAATGATACTCCTTTCTTCGCGCGTATATTTAAGTCAAATGTATTCAAAGTTTTAGAGCAAAGTTGAACAAACTAATAATTAATTAATTTGCTAATTCGTACACGCAAGAGTTTAAGCAAATATGTGTTAATTCAACAAGTTTCTGATACGCTACATTTAAGGTGCAGAATTTGATGTTGCGAAATCACGTATTTCTCTTTTTAATATTCAAGTGAGTTACAAACTTATTTTTGCATCAGATATCTGCTCAGGATTTTTTTTTAATTTACACTGAAGATGAGAAAAATGTTTTGATTATAACATCAAGGCTATATGATAGAATACATTTTAGTGATACCAAACAGAATTCCTGTATTATATAAAAGTAACTTTGACAACTCGAATTTCTCTTAAAAGTACGCAAATAATACTAACAATATTCCTTCTTTCGCGCGTATTTACGTCAATTATGCTTAAAGTTTTAAAGTAAAGTTGGACAATCTAAATAGAGATAAACTTAATTCATTCGTTCACTTGTACATTAAAGAGTTTAAATAAATATGAGTTAATTCACAAAGTTTTTGATACACTTTTAAAATGCAAAATTTGCGAAACCATGTTCTACAATATTTATCTTTATTTTTTTTATATTTAAATGAATTAACATTTTTTGCATCAGACTCAAATTTATGCTAGTCACATTGAGAAAAATATTTTAATTGTAACAAGGTTATATGATAGAATGCATTTTGGAGACCAAATAATTTCTAGTTATCGTAATTGGACACAATATTTTATAAATAAAGTGTTTAACATATTTAATCATAAAAATTTGGTTAATATTCTCGATCGAATCTATAAATCTTCTAGTTGTATGCAGTATATGCACTAGATCTTTTCACTAAAAAGTTAGTGCTAAACAGTAACTGCTGATCTAAGTAAATTTAGTATCATTATCAAGAAAGTTTGATTTATTTAACAGAAAGGAATTAACCATGCTTGGAATAATTTTTAAAAGAATGTTAATTCATTTAGTTTGCAACGTAGTTAGTTGAATCTATATATCAAATTTCCAATTTATGCAACTAGATTTTTCTTTATTCTAGTTTAATTTAAAACACTCAAGAATCTTCAGCGAATATGAATTAATTCGTCAAGCTTTTGGTAAGCTAAATTTAAGATGCAAACTATGTTGTACAGATCGATTTTTTTTAAATATTCATGACACTCATTTTTTCTTACTGAGAAAAATATTTTAGTTGCATTAATAAGAAATACATTATACAAAATGCATTCTGATCACATCAATCAGAATTTCTTGTAATTGCCTATCGCAATTATATTGACTAGAATGCTTGTATCTGATTTGTTGAATCTACCCTTTATTGAATCTATCAGGTGTCTAATTAATGCAACCAGATATTTTTTTAGTGATCAGACATTGATTCAGAATTTGTGAGCCACCTACTGCCTCGATAGAAAAATATTTATAAAATTATATAACGAAATTTTGTAAAAAATGTGTATTCTGCAATTATATATACACTCGACAGCAAAATTAAAGCATCACCCATTCTGATTACTAAAAATAGGCAAATTTTAAGAGAGTGTAACTTCGTCAAAAATGATCGTATCGGAATGATCAAAAAAGCATTTTAAAGCTTAAAGTCTCTACTTTCGACATCCATAATTCATTAAATTACATACTGATTCTTTACAAAGCTGCACGGATGCAAATCGAGATGCATCTAATCTAAAAATTTTTTACCAAGTTTGCAAAGTTCCAAAAAGTAAAATAAAAATCGCACGCAAATGTGGTTTACATCGTTTGAAAGCGTGAACCTTTAGCTTTAATTTGAGCACCCGGTTAGCATTGTGCGATTTTTTTTCACCGAGTTATTCAACATTGAAGCTGTCTCTTATACACATCTC